AAAAAAAAGAAAAAGAAAGCAGGTTGAGCAAGTCACAAGAAGCCAGCCAGTAGGTAGCACCCTCCATCCATTGCCTCCATGTCCCTGCCCTATGTGAGTTCCTATCCTGACTTCCTTTGATGAACAGTCATGAAAAAAGACTAAGCCAAATGAGCCCTTTCCTCCCCAAGTTGCTTTGGTCACAGTGTTTTATTACAGCAATAGTGACCCCAACCAGGACACTGGGGATGGGCGACTCACATTAATCCTTAGCCTTAGGTTTTCTGTCCTCCTGGTTGACTAAAACTAGCACGCCACATCTCAGAGGACATGGATTCTGCCATTTCTGTTGCACATATCCCTGTTCCTGTCTGTCTCATTAGTTCAGTGAATCCCCTTTCCACATGCCAACCATGACATAGGGCAATAAACCTGTATCATCATTTCCATGTTCTCAAGAAAGCTTCCTGCTTACATCTGACCACAAGGTTCTCTCTCTGCTGGGAATGAAGGGCAGTATCCTGGGGTCCTCTAATGTAATTATTGCTTACAAAACTTGAAGATGCTGTGGACTTTCAGAGTCAGAAAAAAGTTTCTTTCCTTAAGTCATATGTTTTAAACAGGCATAAGTGTTCACAACAAACCAAATGAGCTGACTCACTCTTTTTAACAACAGTGTGGTATGGACGTATCATAATATATTTAAGCAATTCTCTAATGACGGACATTTAGGTGGTTTCCAATCTTTCTTTAGAACCAACCATGAAGTAATAACCTGTAACAGTAACGTATAAGGTTAAGTGCTTCTATGCTGGAAATAGTAGAAACCTACTATTTATAAACCTACTAGAAAGCAGGGCTCTTTACTGAGATGATCTCCTTTCCCAAAGACATTCTAACACTGGTGGGGAGTCTGTGTGGGCTGCCTTGTGGTCCTAGCTTGCTGGTAAGAACATGCTCTCAACCACACCACAACAAGAAAACAAAATGAAGCAAAAGAACAATTTCTTACTTTAGGATTCAAGTCAAAGAAGGTGTAGTATTTGAATCTTAGCAGCAGCTGCTCATCTTCTTGAATTTTTTGCTCCATAAGGGATCTGGAGGAATCCAGCCAACTAGGAAGCAATAGGTTAGGGTTTAAAACCACCCCACTCTACACACCCACCCACCAGATGGTGCTACATGGCATACTGCACTTCAAATAAATCCACAAACACGGACAGGGTAAGCAATGGCAGCAAAAGCAGTGAGCACACATATTTGCACTTTACCTTATCATTCTAAGATAAAAATATTCTTAATGATACACGAAAGTGAAGGAACGATGGGAGTTGATATCTAGTATGTCTTTCTTTTCCTTTCTGTTCTTTCCTCCTCCCCCGCCCCCGCCTTATTTTTGGAGAAAGAATCTCACTTGTAGTCCAAGCTGGCTTTGAACACGGGATCTTCTTAGCTTCCTGAGTGCTGGAATCACAGACCTGTACCACCATGTCTGTCATTACCTTAGTGTAGCAGATGATTTAAGAATCACCTCTCAGCGAATCATCTGATGATTTATGCATGGCTATAGCTCCACGTGGAGCCACACTGTAAGTCTGTACCTGCCTGCCTGCCCTGCTGCTTCACTGTGGTCAGCCCAGAGCTAGGTCTAACCTAGCCAGTGTCCAGCCTTTGCCAAGCAACACGGCATTGTCATCTACAAAGTTCATCATAAAGAACTGCACAACAGTTACAAATTAAACTCATAACTTAGGGAACTTTGCAATTTTGTGTTGGGCTGCATTTGTGGCTATCTTGTACACGTGTGACCCATGGGCTATGGGTTGGACATGCCTGATAGACCCTTCTGTAGTGATGGGGAAAGTCATAGATGCTGTGCAATGCACTAACCTCTAGCCAGATGTGGCTACTGCATATTAAGTGTGAGTAATGTCACATGTTAATTTTAATTAGGGAGAAGCGGTGTTCTATACAATACAGCGTGAACTGGGCTGCTCACCTTCAATGTCTCTAACAGGGTCACAGAGGTCACCATGCGTATATACTACTCTCTATCCCCAGACACTCTTTTCACACCTATGACAGTGCGAGCCAGTCATGGATGGTAACACATCAAGTTATTTGAATACAACACTTTTGTCACCCTTTAAAGACATTGAGACCACCACAGTCTGTGTTCATCTTCCCCCCCCCCCGTTAAAGATAGCCCTCCTAATTTTGATAAGAGGCACATGTTCATGCCTATTAACTTAAAAATTAGATAGTTCCCATCTTTTTCACATCTCGTAGTGTATGAACGCCAGCTCAGATGGGAGGAAGATGGAGCCCCACCCTTACCCTGCATTCATCTTGGCTTTGTCAACCAAAGATCGGGGCTGGAACATGTCGGCGAGCACATCTGGTGATGGAGGAGGTTGGCTGAAGGCCAGAACACTGCAGTTTTGCTCCGTCAAAGGGCTGTCACCAAACCAAGTCATAGTGGATAAGGCTGGTGTTCCACTGATGGGGTCGTATGTGGGTGTCATGGTCTTACTGTACAAACCAGGGCTTACTATGAGGCAAGGAGAGAAACCTTCTGATAGGTGATTCATGTTAGGACTCTGTAGGAAAAGATTATACTAAAATGCATTTTGACTTTAAATGTACCAGGGGTCAGAATAGTAGGTCAGTTACACACAAGTAAAGATCTTGCCTGGACCTTCTAGTCCTGGGATCCCAGATACATAAGTTTCTAAAAACCAACAAGGTTGGTAAGTAAGTCTTTTCTAATCATTCAAAGTTCTCTTGTTTCCCATGCTATTAGTGGACTGAGAACACAGATACAGAATGTCTCCGACAGCAAGGAGTCCTGTTTGCTACTTTTAAGAACCCAATACCTTGTTACCTGGCTACTCTGGACACTGCCTAAGTCCCCCTTTTATTTATTTATTTGCATTGGAATATGCTATACAAGAAAGCCCTTGATATTGCAAGAAAGCTAGTGAAGTTGTTTTGATATGGGAAGAAATCTTTACCTTCTCAAAATCTTTACCTGCTTTTCCTGCACAAAACCAATAAAAACACAAAGACAAACCAGGAGAAGAGAAATATAATTAAATAATTACCTTCTTTCTAAAATTTACTTTTATTCACCCTCAATTTATGGCTATATGTACTTTACAACATAAGGTGCACAATTAAAACCACGAGTTACTAAGCACACCTAACAGAAAAGTCCAAGTTTAAAACACTTCTAAACTGCTAGACAGTCCCTTCTCAACTTGTCAATTGATCCTTTAATGGTGTTGATCCTTCTTTGCTTGGAGAGAAAGTGAGGTGGGGGGAGAGGGGAGGAAGGGAGAGGAGAGACACAGATCCCCTCTGCTGCTTTCGGGGTGCTGGTGTGACTCCTTTAGACCCTCTCATCCAGTCAGTTCACAAAATGCTATGTAAATGGAGGGGGAGATGGAAGGAGGCAGGGGAGGAGGGAGACTTATTTTTCTTTGGGGTCTGGAGTCACAAGCTGAAATAGCAGCTCCTTACCCGGGGAACCTGAGCTTGTTGAAGAGCTTTCCAGGTTCAGGATGTCTTCGATCACTGGCTCTTTATTACTTTTGTCTTTCTTCTTTTTCTTCTTAGAATAGTCACCAGAAGGCTTTAACAATGAAAGTTCCTCTGGCCGTCTAATATCTGAAATAAAACAAAGTAACAACTAACAGAAACAAAAAGCAAGAAAAAGAAAAAGAAAAAGAACTCCTTCTGAGACTCACAGCTCTTCTGCGTGTTTGACAGGTCTCAGGGGACTGTGGCGAATGGAAAGACCAGGAAGGAACAAAGACCCTCAGGTTGGATAGGGACAGCAAGAAGTGGCAGACCTTTCAGTCTAGTGCAAATTAGAGGTCGTGTTTTAATTTGTGATGAAAATGCTCCACATACACCCAGAGCAAAGGGGATGCCCTCACCACAGGTGCGCCATCAGCTTCAACCACGGGCAGCGGTCAGCGCTGTGCGCCTCTTCTCTTACCCATGAACTAACAATTTCCCCTCTTGTCCTTCCTCTCCTACTTCTGTATCTCTTTGCTTTCGTAAATCACCACAAGGGGCGTCCTTTTTCTTTGTGGACCACTGACTGCAATCTTCTTTTTCTACATAGCACCCATCCTGTGGAGGTGTCCTCACGTCCTGTCTTGCCTTCTGAATCTTCTCAGTTTAATGTGTGCCAACCTGACTTCCAATGTCTCAGACCATCTGGGTGTCTGCCAAGGGCTTGTGATGGCTGCTAGCCACGTTCTGCACTGCCCACCTCCAACAGCCCGCAAAGAACCTTCAGTGGTAGGCTTCTTCTTTAGTACCTTCACCCTCCTGGGACAGACCAGAGGCCTGTGTCTACACTGCCTTCCAGGGGTCCTGGCTGCCCACAGTGTGAGACTCTTACTGGAAGACGAATGTTTACAATCATTTCCACACAGTCTCTCCTGGCATCAGGACCTAAGTTCTAGATCCCTTATCCCAGAGTCAGCTTCTGGAGAAACCAGCTGTGATAACTCTTCCCCGACTCATCCCAGAGTGCAGCCATGATCAGAACTGCTGGTAACACACTGAGCAGCTTTAATTTCAGGTAATATCCACAGAAGTGGCTGCCTTAAGGGTTCCGGTACTGCTCTCTTAGATCCTCTCAACACTCAGTTTATGAACTGCTTGGCCTGCGGAGGCCAGCTCATCCCATCACCCGGGATGTCGACTATCAGGCTACAAAAGACACCTGGAACCAACCCAAATGTATGTTTTATACACATCTGACAACTTAAATATTACAGTGTAAGTGTTACAAAGCAACAAAGCAAAGCTCCACCTAAGGCCTGTTCCTCTTCTCCTCTTCAGGGGTTAACTGCCATACCGCTGAATCTACCTGAGTTATCAGTGATTGTTAGACGGAAGAGATGCTGAGCAGAGCGCTCTCTTAGTGTGTCTTCAAAGCCACAGTTAGAGAAGAGAGCACCTGTCTGCTCTGCCTTAGCTGTGATGTGTTACCTCGTCCCTTTGGGGTGTGGAAAGGCCTTTCTTTTGATCACTTACTTGGTGTGGGAATCCTTGCTAGAACACTACCAACAGCAACAACAATGTGTCCTTTTGTTTCACATTTGCCTGCACCATGTCAGGGACACTTCAATGGAGTATTCCATGTATCAGTTGGTTCACTAAACTGCACAGCTGGTGTGTGCCAGACACTGAGTTAGTTCTAACCCCGTTTCAGGCCATCAGAACCCTCAGTGTCCTAACATGGGCCTTCCTAAACCTGTGAATACTTCCTTCATTTGCTGTACCTCCCATTCCGTTTTAACACTCCTATTTTCCTTGCTGGCTATCCATCTCTGCCTACTTTGAAGGGCAAGGTTTCAGCGATCTTCATCACAGTGTCTACCGGCCACCACACTGGCTGCTGCACAGCAGGGCTCAATGGGCATCTGTGGAGTGAATGAATGAAGCAGCTACACAGAGTGAATACCCAGTGGGTACATAATATTCTCTGTTCACATGCTGGGTGGTGCATGACATTCTTGGTACCAAAGAAGACACCCACTCGTCTTCAAAACACCGGAAACACGACCACGCATGGCACAAAGTTCCCTGTTTCTACAGCGTATCATAAAGGAAAAAATGTCAGAGCAGCGTTGTCTCCGTGATATTCATTAGATGAGCCTGGCAGCACATGCAGACACTCCCGGTAGATTTGAGGCTGAGGCAGGAGGATTACAAGTTTGGGGTAAGCCTCGGCTACATCAGATCATATTTAAAAACCAAACAAAAATGAGATTAGGCTTCCACTCACACGTGATTTTGTGTGTACGTGTGTGTGCATGTACAGATATTTGTGTGCACAGAGGCACACGTGTGAGGCTAGAAGACGTCCTCCTTGGATGCCTTTCTCCAGGAGACAAGGTCTCTCACTGGCCCAGACCCTGCCAAGGAGGCAGGCTGGTGGGCCAGTGCCTCACAGGGATCCGCCCGTCTCTGCTTCCTCACTGCTGCGGTTACAAGCGTATGGCAGCACGCCTGCCTTTTTAAAAACATGGGTTCCAGGGACTGCTAAGGCAAGCTCTACAAGCTAATAAGCTCTCTTCCCAGAGAGAACTTTTCTGCTTCAGGAGCCAAATACTAATGAAGGAATTAAAGACAGAGACCACTCAGTGTGTCACAATGAACGATGCAACAAAACTCCCATTCTTTTGTTTCTCTTAAAAATCGGAGTGTAGTTTGGAGAAATGACTTTGGGGAGGCACTCTTAACATTGGCCACTTCTCCTTACAAACACATTTGAACAATTAATTGTAAGCCTGCGGAAATGACTCTGGTTTATGCAAATAGTGTTCCCTTTGCTTCATTCCACTTGAAGGGCTGTGGTGTCCGAACTGGGCCCGGGAGTTTAACTTCCTGGTAGAGGAGGCTTCTACAGCCAATGCTTGAGGCAGGCAGAAAGCACAAGTAATTTTCCTGTGTTCCTTTGCCAAGAGTCTAAAAGGGCACAGGGGCCCCTGCAGGGAACTCACTCAGAACTTTGCAGATATCGGTGACAGCCTTAAACACTACAGCTGAAAAACTGACTCGCAGTCGCACCGTCTTGGCATTGGGTAGGCGAAGGCGAAGCATTTTATGCTGTGGGGTGAAGAGGAGCTTGGCGTCGGCCTGGACTCCACACTTGTCCAGGGTCCAGTGGGTTTTCAGAAGCCAGCAGCGCTTCTGCTCCCACCACAGAGCAAAGTCTGACCAGTCCTGGGCGATGTCTACAAAAGTGGAAAACAATAGCGAGTGTGAGAGGAGGCTGAGCTGTCTACTCACAGCGGGTGGGGAGCGTACAATCTCTTTATGGTTCAAGGCTCAACAGCTCTTAACTTCCTTCCAAAGTCTCCTAGGAGGGGCAGGGAAGAAAAGGTGTCTGAACTCTACCCTCATTTACATTTAAGTATCATGAAAACAAAAGTATTGTTCTAATGAATGGTAAACAAACCCCAAAACCTCTGTGAGTCAATCTGGATGGCTTAATCAGTCTAGTCTTTTATAGAGACGATCCTTTCACTACGGGATCACATGGGAACAGGGACAGTTCAACAAGCCACACAGACCATGGAAAGTTCTTGTGAGCTATGTCCTGCTTCTCCAGCAGTTTTCTATTTACAGCTTGCAAAGCACCTGTGCTGACCAGAGCCGAACGCTCTCCGCTCAGGGTCAGCGTCCACACCCAGACTTCTCTTCACCATCACTATCGGAGGTGAGATTTCCCTCTGATATGTATGCAATCAGTATGAAGTCAATTCAATCTTTCATTTTGTTAAGAGACATCAACTTTGTTTTTGTTTTTGAGACAGGGTTTCTCTGTGTAGCTCTGGCTGTCCTGGAACTTGCCCTGTAGAGCTGGCCTCCAGAGACTTCAACACTTTAATTTACTTGTTATTTCTCTCTTGGTGAACTCTGCCTCTTCTTGAATTAGAAAACCCTTCTCTCAATGCTATTAGCAGAGGCATCAAACTATTTTGGAATGCGATGAATCAGTAATTGTTCTTTGCGGTATAGAAAATATCTGCTGTGGTTGGGAGATGGTCTGCATGACCCCTGAGGCTTTCTGAGTTAAGGTTTGATCCCTGATATTAAGAATGAAAAGGGTAGAAGCTTAATCTGACCACATGTTGGGAGACAGAGCCTTTGGAAGGTAAGCAGAATTAGGTATGATCATTAAAGTGCAGCCTCTCTTGTTGAATCTAGTGGCTTTATGAGAAGAGGCAGGAGAACCCACCTCTCTCTCTCTCTCACACACACACGCATGCATGAACACTCCTTTGCTATATAATACCTCCTGCTGTCTTGAAAGCCTGAACCATGTGTCAAAATAACCCTCTTTTCTTTACAGTCATCTAGCCTCAGTATTTTTCTTATAACAACAACGAAATAAACTAATACAATCCTCAACAGAAATGTCTATCAAGAGATAATGTTCGTATATTCTACTACTAATATAAAACAAAATGGAAATGACTAAAATGCTCATCAAGGGATAAGTAGATAAATTATAGTAGGTTCACACAATAGAGTATTATTTAGCAATGAAACTAAATGAACCCAAATTATATGTAACAGTATGGTTTTCTTTCAAACATAAAATTAAATAAATGAAAGCAGCTGTATATCCTTTATGAGTACATTTATATGAAATTCAAAAACAGCAGAACGAGAGGCCAAGGTGGGGGTTGTCCTTCGTGAAGCAGTGACGGGGAGTGGATAGCAAGGGTGGGCTTGGGGGGGCGGGGGGCATTCCTTCTCGATTTGGGTGACGGCCATGTGAGTATAGATGTTCACCGACTGGAACCTTACAGGCATGCTTTTCCATGTGCACATTGTTTTCCATTTAAGATGCACTAGAAAAGAACTTTGTCTAAGTAAAAAAGAGAAGCCAGCATCCTAGGCCTCAAATAAATACAAAGGTTTTTTTTTTTTTTGTATTATTAATTTTGTATTACGTTCTAAGTCCAGAAGATGACTCCTCTGTTGGTGGGCAAGTTGGAAATGACACATTGACAGCAAGCTGGGTTTAGCATGAAGTTATCAAGTATTTATAGAGCATGGACTCAGGAGTTCAATTCTGTGGCACCTAAGATCGCTGTGGGTATCTGGTGGGATGGCCCTTGGCCTTTTAGGAGTATAGCATTCTACCTTCTTGAGAGTTTTGGTTTGTCACCAAAGACTCAAGCTTTTACAGTGGTGGCTGGGTTCACTTGAAAGCCCTTGCATGGTCCCTGTTTCTCTTCCTGGAAGAAATTAGGGCTGGGGAAGAGGAATAAGCTCTCAGGAAATGTAGGGCCAAGCCCTACACTTCACCTACAGGGTGAAGTGACACAGGGGGTTCAAACACAGAAAAAACTCTGGAGAAGGAATGACTTACTCATCTGTTCCACCAGCTTGAGCATCACTCCTCCAACATGCAGGTCCCCAGACACCCTCAGCCTGACATCTGTCTGCTGCTCCTCATCTGCATGGTCAACTCGGACCACAAGCTCCCAGGATGCAGATCCAAAGTCACTGGATGACAGCATTGTGGCATAGGCAGGCGTCTTCAGGGACCAAATGCAAGCACAGGTCAGAACGGCAGAGGACAGTGGAGGGGCAGCAGGCTCTCAGTGAAAAGCCATTGTCTTTCATTTTTATATTTTATTTTAGATTCTTGTTTAAAGAATTCTGCAGGGTTCCTAGATACTAAATTAGGATCCTAACATAAAAATAATCCCAATGAGCTAAAGTTCTGTATATTCTTTTCTTTACGGGGTATGTTTTTCCCCCCATGTAACACATCAATCTTGATTTTCCTCTTTCTACTAGTTTTTCTTGACTTTCTCTGAACTATTTTGACAAAACACAATAAAGCATAGCAATCCTCCATGAGATCTTAAACTAACTTACATCTTTACTGAAATATAGTTTGTGTTTGAGAAAGTGTAAAGATTTTAATGTAACAGTTCAACACATTTTGTTGTATATAAACTATACTTTAATAAAGTCAGTTTTAGGAAGCTTTCTACTAAAACCATTTCTCACTAAAATCTTCTCTTCAGTATGTCTGAATATAGTATTAGTGTTACTATATTCATCCCAGTATTATTGACATTTTTTGGTACAAGAACCCTAAAATAAAAAGTCAGGAAGATAACTGTCTATCAGTTGTTATCTTACCTTAATGTGCGTGATGCTATAGGCGTATGACAATAACTATTGTTATTATATCACATATGTTATATATTATTATGACAATATTGTGTATTTGGTTTACTTAAATCTCTTTCTGTAGTGTTGGGTATCTAACCCAGCGTCCTGTGATTCTAGTCAAATGATCTTGGCACTGAGCTATATGCCTGTCTTTTTTAGCAACAAAAAAGCAAGCCACTATTTTAAAGCACACAATAATTGATGCATAAATTGATTAAGATTTTCTTTTTGAGACAAGGTCACTCTATTGCCTTCACCCACATTCCTCTTGTTTCAGCCCCCCAAGTGCTGACAAGACAGATGTGTGCCACCACTCTTGGCTCCACAATGTTTTTGGATACATTTTTAGCAAAGGATTGAAAAAAAAAAAAAAGACTGAGAGGACAAAATTTAGCAAGTTCAAACTCATGGTTTTCTCCTAACTGGAGGTGCTGACAGGAAAGGAAACAAACAGAACTCAGATTGAGATGATCTGGTGGCTTTAGAAACATCACATTCCCAGGCAGACAACTTCAACAAAATTTGAGCTGTTGGCTCAAATGACACTGCCATTTTGGGCTTTTAAAGCGACTTAAATAAGGCCATGTAAACAACTGTGAGGGATCCTTTTCATGTCTTTATGTTAGAGAACTTATGAGAAGCCGGTGCTTCCTAAGGCCTATCTTGAGGGACCGACCCATTGTACTCAGATTCACCGGGCAGCGCTCATCACCCTGACACCCCGTCTCAGAGCATCTTTTTTTTAAATAATAATTTTTACTTTTTTATATTAATCACAGGTTATTTACTTTGCATCCCAGCATATCCCCCTCCCTCATTCCCTCCCAATCCCACCCTCCCTCCCTCATCTCCTCCCTGCCCCTTTCCAAGTTCTCTGATAGTGGAGGACCCCCTCCCCTTCCATCTGACCCTAGCTTATCAGGTCTCTTCACGACTGGCTGTAATGTCCTCTCCTGTGGCCTAGCAAGGCTGCTCCTCCCTTGGGGGGGGTGTTGAAGAGCCAGCCATTGAGTTCATGTCAGAAATAGTCCCTGTTCCTCTTACTAGAGAACCCACTTGGATTCTGAGCTACCATGGGCTACATCGAGCAGGGGTTCTAGGTTATATCCAACATGGTCCTTGGTTGGAGAAACAGTCTCATAAAAGACCCCTGTGCCCAGATTTTTTGGTTCTGTTGCTCCCCTTGTGGAGCTCCTGTCCTCTCCAGGTCTTACTAACTCCCCCTTCTTTCATATGATTCCCTGCACTCTGCCGAAGGTTTCGTTATGAGTCTTAATATCTGTTTTGTTACACTGCTAGGTAGAGTCTTTCTTTCAGTCTGTGGTAGGCTTCTGTCCTGTTACTTCAGAGCATCTTATGGTGGTATGAGGCAGAGCCAGAGATTCGGAAACCTCAGAGCATCTTATGGCAGTGTGGGGCAGAGCCAGAGA